CGACTTTACGTCTGTCCGCCACAAATATTGAAGTCGTAATATCACTAGAAAAATGTTTAAAGCACATAAAATCATATTAAAATATATACATTTACAAGTATGTACTGTATTTACAGTACATGCATTCGTAAATTTAGATTACTTTTTTCTGTACTATATTAAAAACTAAAATTTATTTGTTTGTAAGCTTAAAATAGATCCTTATTAACCATACATTATTAAAAATGCATTAATAAATAAAATACAGAACCGGAATTGGCAATTTATGGTTTAGCCTAGTAACAAGTAAATTCGACTTACGTCATTTTTCAACTTAAGTCGTTCTTTTGGAATCAATTACCGACGTAAGGCGAGGTATACCTGTATAGGTACACAGTTAGACCATCATCTTATGCTAAGATTAATAATTAGAAATTAATTAAATAACTTAAAAAATTTTGGAATGAAAGATTGACATGGAGACTCAAATTTACAACTTCTATTAACTATGAATTATTGTACTTTACTAGTTATATATTTAAAATTTTATCATTTATGATTGAAAATAAAATTTAAAATATACCTATAATAAGTTAGATTATAAATGAATGATCTAATTTATTACAGGTAATGCAATGTATATCTTGAAATAAAGATCAGATGAAGGTCAAGAATAATCAGTTTTTGGTGTAATAGTGATTTAATAAAAACTTTCAATTGTGTTTTAAGTCCAAAATATATTTACTTAATTTAGAAACATTTTCCAACTTGCTATATTAACTTTAATTCTGATTTATAAAATAAATTGAAAATTTATACCAAAACTTTTTAATATGATTAAATAAATATAGTTGCAAAATGTTATAAAATTACATATAAAAGTATAAACAAACATATAAATATGCAGGGTGATTAACTCGGGACTGAACACTTGTTCAATATCTCATGATTGCGTAGTCACATTTGAACATGTAAAGTAAACAGTATCTTGGCCAACTGCTTCATCATGAAATAAAGAATTCTTTCATGTGTTTCATGCTTATCTTTTCATTTTATATTGGGATATCTTACTTAACAAGTGTTGAGTCCTGAATGAATCACCTTGTATATAACCATATTAGAAATTAATTAAAGAAGTGGAATGAAATAGGCACTTCTATCTACAGATCATTAATATTTAAAGCAATAGATTTGTAATTAAGGTTGTGTAAAACTATAAATATCAGATTAGAAAAAGTTAATAGCCATATTGAATGAACCTAAAAAATGATATAATAAAAAATTGATAAATTGATTATTTTTAAGAGATATATTTTTAATTAATGATATTTTATTCACATGAATATAATTATTTGGTGTCTTAAATGAACAAAAATATTTGATTATAATAATTGTAGAGAATTCTTATAGTAAAATTAAATATCATTACTATATATAATATTTCAAATATTACTATAGAAAAACAGTTTATATATATACAGGGAGAGATTATTTTAGAATTTTACAAAAACATGAAAGATATTTCAAGAAACCAAAAATTATTCATACCAAAATATCAGGGGCCATATTCTGGTCACCGTCTCTGGTCTCTCGTCTCTCAAAAGCTGGTTGCTGATTGGCTAATCATTTGGATTAGCCAATCAGCTACTGGCTTGTGAGAGACGGTGACCAGAATACGACCCCAGGTGTCATTCAGTCCTTAGCAATCAGAAAATCCAAAATATTGTGGTTTGAACAAATTTTTGTTTTCCTGAAATAAGTTTCATATCTCAAATTCAATACAGTCATTATTTCATATTTTTGAATTCCATGAATGATTTGTTAATAGTATGTTGTAATATTTCTTTAAAGAATCACTTATTATTTTATTATATATTTTAATTAGTATACAATATGTATTAATCACTCAAAATACTCCTTATCTGATAATTGTTCATATATAAGACAAAATACAATACAATCTATTGGAAGAGTAAATCAGGAATAATAGAAATATCAATTGTTATGGTGAAATATATTTTGTAAATATTTAGCAGCAGAAATCTATAATTGATTCTTTGAGTTATAATATCTCATAAGAAATTTTTGTTTAAATGATTTCAAACTGAAACTGTTTAATCATCTGAAGCATTTAAATATAAGAAATAAAAGAAATACAATAATTGTAAAAGTATCAGATTCAAGGGCACATCTAAATTATAACAATTGATCAAACCGGCCATAGATTGGACCATATAATATTTATGGTCCAGTTATTAGTCACCATAGCATAACAAATAATGACAAAATTTCATTAGTTGATGTAGGAAATCATAACCTGTGTTTGGATGTATGTATACACACACTTGTCCCAGTATGGTAAAAGTTTGTATATATTCTTTGCATAGAAAAAGGAATGCTGCTG